AATAGATTGAACATATATCATCCTAGCGTTCCAATATTTATAATGTGTACTATCAAAGAAAGGAGGTCGGTTTGTAGAGTGCCTCTCAATATTTAGAAAAACTTGGTTAGCCATTACTCAAGATTGTAGAATCTTAAAAAAAAAAAGAGTACTAAACTCTGATACCAATTGAAAGTCCAAGAACAACAACTAAGAGGGGGTGAATTGGTTATTTAAACGCAAATTTAAGCAAATAACTATAAATAAATAAGATTACACAAAAGTAATAAGAGGAAGGAAAAGAGAGTGCAAACGATGTAATAAGGAGGTTTGATCCAATCACGATCTACGTCCCCCGTTACCAAGCTCTCCATCACAAGCAAAGCCTTTTTCACTATCTTTGATTGACTTATAGTACAATCCAACCCTTACAACGCTTCCGGTGACTTACAACTAAGGAGCACCGATCCTTTTACGTGTTGAGCTTTCCGGGACCTCAACACGACCCACAATTTAATAAACAAGAAAATCAAAGTTACAATTGAAAAGCTTCTCTCTTAACAAATGATATGAACACAACGAAATATTAAGAGAGAATTGGCATAACACTTCAATAAATCACAAAGAATATAACTCAAGTGTTGTGTGAAAAACTTTTATTGAGATATATGATTTTTCAAAAAGTTACTCACTCAAAAAGTTTTTCAACAAATAAATATTTTGATCTCTTAAAGATTGAAAAACAAGGTAGATAAGATCAATAAATAACTCTCTTTAATGCACTAGAATTCTTATTTTAAAAGAGGTATAAAGAGAGGTATTTATAGCCATCAAACAGGAGATCTGGACAAGTGATTCGGACGTTCGCTTGATATCCAGACAGGTAACTAGGCGTTTGCCAAACAGTAAAAAATCCGACCGTTGAACACCTTCCGGACGTCGGATGGGCAATTGTTTTGCCCATCGAATTTTTTTTTTCGTGAAAAATGTTGTTTTAAGGTACTTGTAGGGTTTTCTTATATACTTCATATAGATAAGTAATTTCGTAAAGATTTAATTGTGAAAATCAAATTACTTATCTTTTAAAAATAATTTTTATGCAAGTAAAGTTTGTCATGATAATCCTCGTGCATAAAAATTGTTTGAGCTATAATCGATGCAAAATATTAAAGTATTTTACATTTACATTTGAGTATAGAAATGCATCTATATCTAATGTCTTCAATTTTTTCATCCAATGCGATTTTGTGCGTGAAAGCTCGATTTCCATTTCCTCGTTCGTAAATCTTCAATCTTGTTTGTGTGTTTGTCGTTTTGTGTCAATGTTGCATGATTCTCGATCTAGATCTTTCGTATCATAAATTTGCAATAATTATTATCAATCACTTAAAGTCAATTTGTTAGAATCAAACGCAATTTGTTTGTGATAATCAAAACAAGAAGTCAACCATTAGGTCAACATTATTGACATTGCAGTCCTTCGTCGCGAAGCTGCAATCTTTCAACGCTAACTTGGGGTTTTTGGGTGTAACAGTGGTGGTGAGATAGTGATGTGGTTGGATGCGGTGTTAGTGGGTGTGGGTGCAGTGGTGTTGGCAACGTGCTGATTGTACTGTTGGTGTGTAATGGCGCTTGACCAGTTGTGCAGATCTAGTGTGTGGTGGGTTGGTGGATTTAGATCTAGTTAGTGGTGGGGGTTATAGTGTGTGGTTGGATAAGGTGGTGGTGTGTGTGTGTTGTGGGTGCATATTTGTTTGACGTTGTTGGGAGTGGTGGTAGGGCCGAAGTGGTAGTAATGACAAAAATCAGGTGTGACCAAGTCTATCTTTATTGTGATTGCCTATGATCAGAACTATGTTAAATGTGACTGTATGTGACTTGTCAATATACGGTCACAAGTGAGATTGATATGGTCACATACAGTCACAATGAAGACAAAATTGGTTATAATTGGTCATGGATAACACAGGTCAGTGAATGTAGTACAGTTGGAGGTGAAGGTTGTAGTGACTGGTGGTGGATTGTAATACTAGTCTACGGTGTGTGAAGATTTGTTTGATATGACTCTTTGTGGGCAAGTATGTGTTTATTGTGAAAGTTGTGAAGTGTCCAATTGTAACTTGATAACATATCGTCACAGTTAATGCTGACTTGATCACAAATAATCACATTGAATATAATTTTGGTCACAATTAATCACATTATACACAAATTTGGTCACAATTAGTCATAGATAACATATGTTAGTGGTTTGAAAATTATTCTAGATAGTGTGGTTTGAAGATTTTTCTATAGTGGAGTATAGAGAGAAATTGTTTTCAATTTTTGAAGATTTTTCTATCACCGAAGCCGAAGCAATAGTCAGAGCGATCATCATCGAAGTGACTACCGGAGTAGTTGTTAGTGTGGTCACTGGAGCCGATGACCATCTCCGGTGGAGAGGTGAAGGGAAAGTGGTGTAGTGGGGGTGAGGTGCATGGGAATGAAATAATTGATGTATATTATATTATAATTTAATATTTAATAAATTTATTTACCACCCAATTTTTTTAAATATTTTAGTGAGTTCGTTATTTATGAAATGTAATCTTTAGATTTAGGACTTATGTGTTGATCTCCTGCCTGCATTTAATAATAAAGATAGGGCTCGAAAAAAAAAATTAATTTGCATAAGCTTAGGCCTAAGGTGTAGTGGAAAATAATATCACTTATCTAACTTTTAAATAATTCGTTCCATATTAAGTGTTTTAGTTAGATGAGAAAATTAGTGTTTTATTACTATTATTATATCCTAATTCCACTAAGACACTAACTGTTTTTTTGATAGACATAAAGATGTCCTTTTAAATTTAAGAATAAACCTATTCGAATTGAACTAGGATATGGTACTAGAAATATATAAATAAATATTTACTCAAAAAGCAATTGAGAGATTCATAATTACGCACACGGTCAGCCATAAGCTGAAGCAGACAGCCAAACAGGTAAAAGGAAAAAGAAGATTTCACGCACTTAATTCGGTTCTTTTTCAGCCAAGGAAAGTTACATAAGGTACACTTGGTTAAGTTATCGTTCTTCATAATGTTCCGATTTGACATGTTATGATTTGTGTTTTTATCAAGAACTGCACGCATACATGGTCATCAACTAATTTTAATATATATTTTTTTTATTAATGTTTGACATTATTTTCAGGCTTTAGTTCCGAAATATTATTCGTATTGCTTTATTGAAGTTTGATTTCGGGAACATAAAATTTCGATTCTAATAATATAAATACTTTTACGAGATTATTTATCGTGAAATGCATTTTAATAACTATCGACTTAAAAGAGAATTCAAGTAGTTATGATGAGGAACAGATAAGATTTTAACTAAATTCTTTGTCTTCCTTTCAAGTTTATAAAAAGCTTTAGATGCGATTTTAAGAGTAAGTTCTTGTTAGAATCGATACTAAAGCAAGACCATCATCGCGGATAGGGTGACATGGGGAAGAATACTTCGAGTAGAAAACAACCAAGCTAGAAATAAATTGGCCGTTGTGAATGTTGATTCTGAAGAGTCGTGAAAGGCTTGCCTTGTGGGTTTCTCTCTTCTTTTTATGTTCGAGGGAATATATTTGAAATTCACCTTCGCAAACTATTTCTTTTTAAGAACCACCATAGATTATCTTGTGACGATTATTGTACAAATTTAGGAACAGAGAAAACAAGAAATAGGGTAAAGGTCTGGCTAGAAAACTGAGAGGCCAAAATGGGCAGCATAAATTTACTCATTGCTTCTCCCCTGAACCTCCCCAACTACAGATGAAACCACCAGAAGTATAATATCTCATGGATGACTTTTTCTCGTGGGTTTATAAACACCTCGAACATCCTGACCAGATTTAAGGGTAAGTTCTACCCAAAGTCAGTGTTACAGTGTAGAATGTTCCTGTCCAATTTTGTCCAATACATAGCACCGAACACTCATTTTTGTAACTGAAACAGCCTTCTATACATCAAAATCCTGTAGTGCCTTGTTTTCCTGGTCTCACAAGAGTGTCATTTAACTGTACCAAGTAAAATAAATTGCAGCACGTATACCAGAAATCTGGGTCGCGCAAAGGTTATCTAACCGCACAATATAGAGCTTGTTTGGTAGAGCTTTTAAGTCAATTAAAATCAATTTTTTGACCGTTATTTCACTATTCCAGTCGTCAGTTTTGAATTCTTCTCTCACAAGTAAGACCTACTTTATCTCTAACAGTAAAAAAATCAATTATTAAAATCTCTACCAAACAAGCACATAGTATAAAATCAGATGCCCATTAGATATGACATCAAGAAACACCTTGATAGTTATGACATACCATGCATGAAGTTCATTTCCCGGAAAATGCCTAAACCTCCAGCCTTACTATCAGTGCAAACTAACAAAAGATCAGGTGAGATATACCAGAACATAAAGACAATGTATTAAACTTGAAACCTCCAAACCGGCAGAACAGCAAAGCCACCTGCTAGAAAACTAGGTATAAAACAAAGAAAGCAGAATCACTTTTTACAAATAATCTCTTACCAAAAAGGTTACAAACCTCTTTATAATCTAAAACACCCAAGGCTTCCTAGACAGGATTGTCACCATGGACTGTAAACTCGTGTTCCTGTTTGAGCTCCATCATAAATAGGCTTCAACGTCTACTAGACGGCTGGAATACTGTATAGCCATTGATGCCATGTGCCAGATTTGGATACTCTGGGATGTAATGTGGATAGCCATCACTATCCATATTCCTAACGTTCAAGGGCAGATCAGAACCAGCCATTTGCCATTGATTAGGAATCAAACCATCAATCTGCCCATTTACATAAGGTTGTGAACTAGACTGAGGAATCATATTCCCAAGAGTATCCAAATGGCTCCCGGAAGCACCGTAACCATGCAGAAACTCATCGTCATGAGAACTTCGAGTCCGCTCAAACTTACATGAGCTCGTAGAGGGGCCCAGGACACTTGACATGCCCATCTCACTTTGGAAACTAAACTGCTGGTTTAGATGGTGAGGCCCGTTGCTGAAACTTCGATATCCCAGATTTTCTCCGTCGAAGATCCCATACCCCTGCTCATCATCTAGCAACTCATTGATGATATCCAGGTGGGGAAATTCATCTGCAAATGCACCATGACTTTGAGGGCCAGATGTGAGGGCAAGAGACTCAGATGGATTGTGATCCTGGAATCTGCTCATCGGAGGCGCATACACAGCAGAACTTTTCATTTCATTGAGCACAGAAGAATGATGATCTGGTATTTTCCTGCTGCTATCCCTTTGAGAGGACTCCATCCATGTGGACCCATTTTGTAGCATTTCATGATTTACCATTACAAACGGAGAACTTGTTGTCACTGAATTTGGTTCCATCCTATCAGGGCTTTGTGGAGGAAAGAGTGGTGGAGATATAACTGCCGGTGCCTGTGAGTAAGAATATGACGGATTTACGACTGAAGCAGGTGCATGATGTTGTTTATAAGCTGGTGAACTTCCTGCGACAGAGTTTCCCATCATTGCATTTCGATATGACTGCTGGACATAAGTCTGAGTTTCAGATGAAGGGTCAGGGCCCAATCGACCAGCAGCACTACTGGAGCGTGCTAAAAATGGGGTTGTCTGGACCATGGGAGCCATGGAAACAGTTGCTCTTGGTCCAGGAGTTAGAGGAGCACTCAAGGGTCTCGACACAACAGGTATTTTTGGTTTTGAAAGCTTTTCATTAGTGACCAGCACTTGCTGCATAGAAGGCTTATCAGTTGTGGCAGGCACTTGCTGTCCAGAAGGCTTTTCACTTGCGGCAGGTACTTGCTGTCCAGAAGGCTTATCAACTAGTTTTAGAGTCGCAACTTTCTGAGCACCAGGTTTCCATGGAACAGCATTAGCAGCTATAGTTTCCAATCTAAGTGGTCTACCAGCATCTTTTGTGCTGTCAGGAGATGGTTTCTTAACCATGACTTGGTTGCAGGCAGCACTTATCTTTGTCTCTGATTTCGGCAGAGCAGTAGATGGAATATTTTTGGAAGAGCTCCTGGGAGAGGATATTACACCTGCTGTCTTCTCTGTAGATGCCTCTGCGCGAGCCACATCTTTGGCACTAAGATTTCTCTGTGGTGAAACTATTACTTCCTCCTATAGTCAACAATGCAGGATCTCATCAATCTATATAACTCAACTAGATGAGAGAGCAGGAAGGGAAAGCGATGAGGAGTATTTAGAATATTCATGCACAGAGCTAATCTTTCCTAAACACGTTCTCGAACAAAATTTCATATTTATTAAGCAAGAAAACCACCTTTCCCACATGGCACTTGGGCCAGCTTACCCTATCCTGGAAGGATGGAACAACAGTTTGAGACACGGATCCACTTATTGCTCCAGTTGGATCACTTTGCTGCCCTGAAACTGACCCGGATTCAAATGATTGACTAGGTGTTTCATTAGCCAAATCCGCGTCAAAAGCCGTGCCTCGATGATTCCTCACTCTAGATGTTAAAGGAAGAAGTCATTTACATTTACCATAACCGATTTGCAGAAATAATATACTAGTGAAACAAATATTTACCTGCTCAACGATTTTTTGTGTCTTAGATTTGGAGGATTTCCTTTATAAGGAACATTCACTACAACAGAAGGGACTGAGTCAGTGGAGAATGTGGATGAATTATCATCCACAACAGATGGAGTTCTCCCTGCTATGCCATTTTGAACACTGGAAATCCCATCAATCACACTACTACTGGCTTCTGCAGGAGGATGCATTTCGGCAGTATCATTATCCCGATTAATAGGACTTACAGCTCTCTCCTCTGAATCAGGGGGGAGTACTTCTGGAACACAATCTACTGAATCAGATACATCAGAAACATCTTCCAGTGCATCACTTTTTTGTACTACTTTGGAATTCCTTTCACCAGTCGGAGTATCTGGCCCAGTTTTGCCTTGTAGAACAATGTCAGGTTTATCATCCCTTCCCTTGTCTTTGGCTTTGCGACTATTTCGTTTTTGTTTGCCCTGAAAGTACAAATGAACAAAATAATGTAATAACCGACAGCAGAAGCTGCTTGGACATATACATATAAAGGAAACACCTATTAGAAAATAGAGACACTAGCCAATAGTACAATGAGTATGGCACTGCCAAATATTATAGACTGCCAAATATTATAGAAATGGAACACTCTACAGAATACTTACCAAAGTTATCAATGCAAAAGTCATCAGAACCAAGGAAATGTTATGGAAAAAATTATTTTAATCTCCGTTACAGCATTCTAACAATGATTCGTACGGAATTATTTTGGTTACCACAGTTTCTTACTTGTCTATATAGTAAAAGCAAGTGCCCGTGTAGGAACACTGCACAGAGATCTTACAAGATATCATCATTCACTTAACAGTGAAAACCCTCCAAAGAAAATACATGTCCACAGCAACAGAAATGCAGATACTTAATGAACTTGATCATACTGCAGAAGAAAGATTAAAAGAACAATGCCACCTTTTTCTAGACTTATGCAACATACTTCCAGGATATAAACATTTTCAGTTGTCAAACTAGTACAAGTTCAACAACTTCAATTGTACTTCTAACTTCTTTATTTCCAAATGGATTGAACTCGTCAAACATTTCATGAGGAATAAACTGATTTTTAGTGAACCTGCTTTTTCTTTGACTTCTTTTCCTTATCAGCTGCTCCACGTTTTCCTTTCTGCTCATTCTCCGCCATCCAAGCTGCCTCCTCTTCCCGGATGAGCTCTTCTTGTCTCTTTAAAGCAACAGCCTCCTGGTATGCAACTTCAATTTTACTGCTGTAACAAGACAGGTTAAACATTCAGGACTAGATAATAGAATCATGGTGCATTTAACCTGTTGAATATATAAGAAAAGGTTAAAAACCTGTCTATCGTCCTATGCAGTACTAGTACTGTGTTCCAAAAATGGCCTTGGTGCTATTTTAACCAGAATGCCCAAGTATTTCAAGCTAAGACTTGAAGGAACTATGTGGAGATCTATTAATGCCCACAACAATATACATAAATTCCAAAGACACGTGTAGAATATCAAAAAACTAAATGTCTATCAAAAAAACAAGGTAAAACAACCCCCATAATATGATTATCTATTAGGTCACCATATTGACATAAAAGCAAATGTGCACTTCCAATTCAAAGCTTAACTGATGCAGATAACCTCAAGGCAAACAACTCATATTTTCTGATTGCGCAACCCAAAATTTCTTCTAGGAAATATTGTAGTGCGTGTGCAATGTAAATCATACTTCATCATAACCTCTGAAGAACTGCTGCATCTGATGATAGCAAAGGACCAAATATGCAGAGTCAGTATAATGGATACCTGAATAAATGGGCTAAGATAAATATTTCAATTGTCCGACGACCCAGTTCAGTAAGACGCCTCTCATCGCGTTCAATTAAATCTTTGTTGAACTCCTCTCCAGCACTTCCATCCTTGAAAAATAAAGAATAGCATACTCAACATACATGCTCATTGACAATAAATTACATTCAGTACTGATTCGGTAAGGAGGGAAATTAAATAGATGAAGAAAAATGAAAAAAAAAAAAAATTCAAAGACCATGCTTGCACTTTAAGTAACACTTAAGGAAATGAGCAGTTCTTTCTTCTTTCTTTTCGGGTTGGAATTGGGGGTTCTTGGTCTGGCATAAAATCAGAAAGACTTTCAATTCACTCACAATTAGCCAGGTATAACCTGCCTAACTAAGTACTTTTAATTAACACAGTTCCACTATCCAAACGGTTAAGGTGATGTCTAAAATTTCTCTAAGACATGTCATCAATTCACATGGAATTTTTCAGAAAGCTAGTTTCTCGAAACAACAAATTGTTTCGTACTATCCTTAAGTTTGTACAGAACAATAAGAACAGCATTCTCTAATAACAACATACACCAAATCATGCACTGTGAGAATTTATAATTTTATGGCCTCCTTGTCAAACATAAAGACAAGGTGATTACAGAAGAATTCCATAGTTTAAGTCAATTTACTGATAGCCTAGGAATGGTCCTTTGTCCATTGAATATTTGAAATGTGCTTACCTAATTATTAAAATGAACAGCATATGACTCCAGCCTTCTCCTCTTCAGGACCTCAGGCACTAAACCATTGGTAGAATACAACTGGACAGCAAGTTAATTTCGTTGCTATGCTGATGAGGGGTGGTCTACACTAAATTTTAGCAAACTAAAGGTCTATACGTAACGTTTTTATTAGACTGTTTAATCCTTCAAATATGATAAGACTGAGTCTGGTTCCACGAAACACTGCAACCAACACCTACCAAATGGGTAGCATAAAGTCATGAAAAAACCTAAGCATTTTTAGTACGTATTTGTACCCTTCTAAAAAAATAAGCAATCAAGGTCATGCTTCGCACAAATAAATAGCACGTCATGATGCTCACCTTGATCCGATTTTGAGGACCCTTCTCATCCTTTGGAGGCAAAGGTTCCATGGCAGCCCTCTCAAGTAGTAGTAACACATCATCCACCAAAACAAACATATCTTTCTCAATGCGAACAATAGGAACCGGTAATTCTTCTGCCTCCAAATATTTCCCCTTAACTTTATTCCCCTTGGTCTGCCCTTCAAGAGCCTTCAGTCCACTGTACAGTGAATCCATGACCAGAGTAGATGTGACTTCTTTTTCTATGAAAAAGTGCTTCACAAGTACTTTTAGTATGGAGTCTGTTCTCTCTCGTGACATGTGGTGCCTGACACTTTGATCTATACCCATCCAGAAGGTACGGAAGCTAGAAAGTATGACAAATATCCAGTAAATAATATTTGGCCAGTGCAAATCAAAGAAAGGAACTTAGGTCTATACCCATCCACATAAAGTATGGGGGCTGGATCCAATAAATGATACTTGGATGATGCAAATCAAACAAAAAAATTACTTTCAAAAAATTATTCTTGTCAATATGCGTTAAATTCGAATAATGATAAATAAAAACAACCAAAATAGGCTCCACTACCTTGACCATCTAGCTTTGTCCTCAATCAACTTTCCAAGTTTGCTCCTTCTTTCTTCTACAAAACGACGGCAAATTTGTTCAACATTTGTCAAATATACCCGAACAAGTTCCCTCCTATATTGAATGTCTAGGCAACGGAAGGGATAATCTGTTCTCTCCCTGCAAAGAAATGACAAGGGTTATAATTATTATACAATGCAAATAAACACAATTTGTAACAACGAATAGAAAATCAATCCAAAAGAGAAAGATAAAATAAATAAATAAAAAGAATAAAAAATCTATCAAAAGAGTATACAACTATCACAGTCAAACAGATATCATTGTAAATATTCACAAGCATGTTATATGCACATACCTGATGACCTGGACTTGAGCTTTAATTATTAATGTATCAGCATCAATAAATCCATCTAACAATTTTGATAGCTCCATAAATTTTTTCCATCCCCAATCATGCTCCTTTTTCCAAAATCGATGAAGCGTATCTGCAAGGTTTTACAATACATATTCAAACTAATCATAATTTAAAAATGAAAACTACACAACAAAGTAATAGTGTTAATTCAATAACTTACCAGAATACTTGGACTTTTTAGCATCTTTATTCACCACAGCAATAGTGAACTGCGCAAAATGACTCCATCCTGTTTATAGGAAAAAAATCACTTAATATCAACTCCAAACATACAAATAAATTTTCAAATCAATTCATAACATGATAAATGTTACCATACCTGGAAGAAGCTTGTCATGATTAGCCACACAGAGAAACAAAGAGAGATGATTGCAGACATCACATCCCTGGGGGTAAATCAAAATATACCTACCATCCAAATTTTAATCAAAATAAATTTACGCGAATGCCATATGCACAAACGTAGAATAGAAGATATCAACTATAAAAAATGCAATTAAATAAAGACAGCAAGATGGACCTCACTGCCCAGAAAATTTGTAAAAGATCATCAGTTGTTGGGTAGAAAGGAGGAATTAAAAAGCATTTACCCTGAAGAAAATAGTTTACCAAATATGCTTTGCATGCATGTTAATTAAGCATCCACGAAGAGTACAAAAGACTGATTGCCTACTTCATGTTAACATCTTCGGGAACATTCTAAGCTCAAAGGTCAACCAACAGAAGGGGCAAAAAATTCAATTCTTAACTCAAGATTAAGCACAGATGACCCATGGTTTTTCTGTAAATAGGAAATCAATGTTGACGCAAATAAGAACTGCATGAAAAGCAAAGAAAGATATTTTAGAACCATTTTTTCCTTAAGCATCATACCATTTGTAGCTCCCAGCCTCAAATACATCACTTCGAAGTTCTCTTTTGTTAATTTGTGAAAACTTGCTGATCTTCCAGGTATACTTTCCATATAACTCAGAAGGTCGAGGTCCTGCAAGGATAAAAGCAAAAAGTAATGAGCATAGGAGATATGCAATCTAATTCACATCAACGACAAGCAAAAAATTTCAATCAAGACCAAATTTAGAAAATTGGTAGTTGAGTTGCAAATTGATCCCAAATTCATTTCTAATTCTTTCAAATTTAACATAACAAAAATGATGTTGCCACAGCTGCTTGAGAGAATTGGAAGCCTCTAGACATTTCTTAAAAGGAAAAAAAGGAGAAAGCACAATAGTGATTTCCTTATAACAATTCATTTGGAGCATAATTTGTAATCAACGTATCTTCTCAACGGAATTGGATTGCATTTAGATGATACTGCAATCTTAAAATCATAATAAAAATCAAACAAAGATACTGCCAAAATCAACATCCACCTTAGTCCCTTGCATATGGTATACATCACCAAACCTATACGCGCATCAACCCATCAGCCAAAGCAACAGCTTTGCAGACAAGAAACTTTGTAGTTCTCACCGCGCATCACATGGAAAGAGAACAAAACCTTAGAAATAAAAGTTCTACCGAGTTCCACTGACAAGTCCATACGATATACATAAATTTGATGCATAATGATATAATGCCAAAAGCATTGGATTCTTCTTCCTCCTCCAAGTCAATTTTCCCTCGTATCAGCCATTAATTTGATATACTCTATGCTATTGAAGTCTTCTGGAATATTCTTCCTTCTCTAATACAATTTCTCCTTTTGTTTTCCCTTTCCTTTCACAATTTTCCTTTTTAGGAAAGAGAGGGTTGATTAACTCCTTTAACACCTATTTCACTTGAAATGGTAAGTTAACACATACTTTCTAAAATACCGAAGAAAATGCATACAGAGAGAACATAGGACAAATGTCAAGCACTATACTAGAACTCAAAAAAAAATAAAAAAATGGAGGTAATAAACAAGGGCTGCCAGGTAGTCGAAAGGAATAAATCACATACCATTGTCATCATCACTGTCACTGTCCCAGTAAGGGGGCGAAGTTGAAGGGATCCCATTTTCAACCTGCTCGGAAGACCTCCATTCTGCTAATGCCTCACCGGATTGACATTGCTGCTGCTGACAGCTCAAAACCCCTTCCAATGATCTCCCCTCTTCAGACTCTGCAGTCACAATCCCAGCCATATCTCCCTCTATGCAAGTCACGCCACACTTCCCCTACTTCACCCAGCTTCAACAAAAACTTAACCCCATTACAAACACTTAATTATATATTGTGCACGCAAGCATGTGAGTCGGTGCGGACGCGTGAACATGTCGACGAGAGATAGTAAAAAATCCACATAAATGGGCTAATCTAATTATAGAGATAGCAACTACAGTTAACTGTTGGCACGCCTCCTTTCTTAATTAAGCTCATTTTAATATCTGAAAATTGTGTGCAATTCAAAAAATGAGAGCTTCTTCAATAAGAATAAAAAATATCTCTTGAAGTTAACACGTTGATGAATGCACAACTTCATACATTTCTAACATCAATTTCATTTAGAAAAACACATACATCAAATTTCCCGAATTGAAAAACCCACACATAAGAATAAAATTCTATAAACCGAAGATGCCCTTTTCCCAGATAAATAAAAGAACCAAACCTAGAACTAAACCCAACTACAATCAATCAAGATTAAAAACCAGCCACTAAAATGCCCAATCATTTTTCAAGTATCAGACAGAAAACCCAGGATTTATCCAGCTTCAAACGAGAAACCCGATCAGAACATCAATTAAAAAACCCTCATGTAAATTCCAAAATCCCTTTTCAACCAAAACAAACCCTAATTTCCAAAACCCAATGCCGAAAAAAAAAAAAAAGCAATCGAGATTTTTTCTACATTAATTATCTGTAAGAAAATTACAGGAACAAAAATTCAGATCAAGAGTTAGAAGTAAAACAAACCTGAGGTAAAAAAATTATTAAAATGTTTATTTATGAATTTGGGAAATGGGAGGTAGAAGAGAGATAGGGGAGAAGGAAGAGTAGCAGAAGAAAGAAGAAAAGAGGCGGAGAAAATATACATATATATAGTCATTAAATATTTATAACTTAAGTTTTTTTTTTTTTTTTTAACGAGATGTCCCAGCTTACGTCAGATTATATCCTCGTCCCTGAACTTTCGGCCCCTCAGCTGCTCAGGGAGGTAAATCGCAAGATGTGCCATTGTTGGTTCCCAAGTTCCCACATGACTTTTACTCCTTCTCCAAAGGGAGCTTCCTCCATGGTGATTAATCCACCAATAATTCCTCCTTTATTGGATCAAAGGTTCCCATCAGGAATCGAACTCCCCACGCTTGGTTTCAGAACTCCCAATGTGATTGTTCCGCCAATTTGGATGTGCCATGGGGGGCTTTATAACTTCAGTTTATTTGCATGTATGTGCAAAGTAAGCCCCACTTTGGCTCCCATTTTGTGTAAATAAAAATGGGTGAAATAATATTTTTTTAAAAAAATGAGTGATCAAAAAAAGGAATTTTGATTTACGTATTATATTATTTTATGAAAGATTGTATGATTGAAAATAAGAGAGAAAAAAATAAAATAAAATGAAATGAAAATTAATGAGGACAAACGGAAGCTAAATATTATATTACTTTTAATTTTAAAAACAAACGTAAATTGAACAAGACACTGAAAAGTCGTTTGATTGTCTTTCCTCATTCAACTCGATAATGTAAAATTTTTATCGATTGTACCGTTTAGTTTCATTGAGTAATGTTCGACAAACTTGCACTTTATGAAATATATGCCCGAATTAGTTAAATAAGATAAAATTTTAAATTTGAGTTACATTTAGTCAATTTTACTTTTTTGTGTATGTATATGCATGTTTGTGTATATGGAGGTGGGGGCATGTTGGGCAATTCATACTTTTGACTTGTAAGCACTGAGTGTGTTTGATTACGTTTATTTTTCGTGAAAAATATCAATTTTTACTCAAATTTCTACTTGAGGTGTTTGATTGCAATTTTTTTCTATGGAAAATTTTTTTCAACTTTTGAAAATATGCATAATTTTCCTTGTTTTTAAGGAAAATATTTTTTTTGGGTGAAAGTGGTCTTTATTTTCCACAAAAGAAGGAAAATATTTTCATTTTTAGGTGATATGTTTCATATCAATCAAACGCACTCTAAAAAATGATTGGCTGAAAACGAAATAGGCGGGTCGGGTTTGAAGTTAGAGCGGACCCGATGTGTTTTGAGGAAGTTTTGTATATATGGGCTTTCCTTTTATATTTTCCCTTAAATTCAGAAAGATAAGTTATATATAAATATCTAGAGTAACTTATGCATATAATTTGTTCTAATTCAGAGTATTTTAAGGAAAGAAAGAAATCCTTTTGATACATAAAAGATAAAATAGTCGTAAAGGATATAAAAAAAATGTCGATGATAATCGAAAAGTAACTTATTAACGTAATTTATTTAGTTTAGAAGTCTTAACAAGTAGGAAAGAAGAAATTTATTGGGTAGAGTGGAAAACTGAATTAACAAAAGAAGTGGAAAAAAATTAAAAAAAAAAAAAAGTATAGTATTCGTAGTACCCGTGTTTTTTTTACAATTGTCGGTGCATAAAACGGCTCATAATAGATAAAAACTCACAAGTTACGACATCTACCAATGGATATACATCTTGTCATGGCATTGTGCAAATTTAATGTGATATGGAAAGTAGTAGCGTCGCTCATAAACAAGATGAGGGTTTATTGGGTACATAGTAATGGTTCATTGGTAGAATTGTAATTAAAAATAAAAGATTAAATCTCTATTTGATAGAAGTTTTAATTTAAATCAAAATCAATTATTAATTTTAACCATTCATTTTATGGGACACACAACTTTTCAACCATATTTTCATTAATTTTTATTAAAATTTATTAAAAATCTTATTTTAAACCCCACCAAACAGGGATTAAAAAGGAAACGATATAGAGTTGACTTATGTATTTTTAATTTTCCTTTTCAATCTTAAATTGGTACGACATTTTCCCTCAAAAAATTTAAAAAGAAAAATTGATATAATGTTTGGATGTTGACGAAATTCATTTGCAGAAATTTTTACGTCTTTATTTCCTTTTTTATGACATTGTTATAGTTCATGTGTAATAAATTCTTAACGATTAATTTCTTTAAGTAATGAATTAAAAGATATCATAATAACGTGTGTGAATGTAGAGAATGTGGGGGAATATGTTTTGACTTTTAAGCAGTAGGAGGTGATTGGCTGAAATCAATGTGGGACCCACTTTCTAGCATTTTAGGGTTTTAACAGGCGGGTCGAGTTTGAAGTTAGAGTGGACCCGATCTGGTTTGAGGATTTATTGTATATATGGGCTTTTATATTGCCTCCTCAATCCACAAAGAAAAATGAGAAAATTATTTAGAACCCTACAATTAAAAATTAATTTTCATAAATAAGGTGGTTAAGTTTAAATTTTACATATAGGATCAATAATTGTAATTAATAAAAATTTAATTAAACTTAATCTACATATTCATCCCTCTACCCAATTCATCCCGATTCAAAGCCTAGACTCTACCTTCTTAATATCTTCTCTCTCTCTCTCTCTCTACCATCCACCCACCCAACTCACATAAAACTACACTTTATACCATCTCCTTCAGCTCCAGAACCATTGCGTGCAGTGGCACAGCAAAGCGCCACTATTGCTGCGAGCAGTGGTATCTTACTTCACCGTCGTCGCTAGCAAAAATAAGGTGAACCAGGCAGTCGTGCTTACGACAACGGTAAGTCCATGGGCGATAGTGCAGTTGTGTACAGGTTCTGTTGTAGTGAGACAGTCGTACCTGATTTTTGGGTGTGATATTTCATTTTCGATCTATAGATTTGGGAGGGGGAGAGGGTTTGTTGGTTGTGTTTGTCGTTCTTGGCGGTGGTTGTAGTGGTGTTGATGTTGATGGTGCTCATGAGGTGGTGGCATGTTGGAGGTGATGGTGGTATATTGTGATATTGGTCTGAAGTGTATGTAGATTTGTTTGTGGTGATTCCATGTGACCAAGTATGTGTTTGTTGTGACTATTTGAAACCAATTTTTTGTTGATTGTAACCGATTGCGACTTGGTCACATTTAAGATTGACCTGGTCAAAAACAGTCACACTAACTACAAATTTGGTCATAGTTAGTCACTTCAAAGACAAATTTAATTACAGTTAATAACAGATCACATAGGTCAGTGAATTAGTCACATACATATACAAATTAGACTGTCAAATACAATCACAACGGAAAAAAGTTTGATCACAGATAGTCACATAAACACAAGCATAGTCACAAACAATAAATCTGGTCAAAGATAATTTATTGGAGATTTTTCTACAATGGAATGTGGAGAGAGATTTTTTTTTTTTTTTTTTCAATTTTTGGAGATTTTTCTATCACCAGAGTTGGAGCAGCCGTTGGAGCAATTATCGAAACGTCTGTCGAAGCAATCGCCGAAGTGATTGTCGGAGCGATGGATGGAAGGTGGTGTAGTGGGGTGAAGTGGCATGGGGTGAAAATAATTAATGTATATTATATTATAATTTAATAAATTTATTCACCACCCAATTTTTGAAATATTTTAGTGAGTTTGTTATTTATGAAATGTAATCTTTAGAACTTGGATTTATGTATTGATCCCAAGAAAATTTATGGATTTAGTGTGTACCCTAAGGGTATTTCTAGGTTGAGAAATGGAGACAAATTAGGTTAAAATGCAATGTTCATTTTATAAAATTAAAGGAATAAGAGAGAAATATATGAGAAGAAATAGAGAAAGTCAAAATTTAAGTGTTTGTTTTATTGAGCACCAAGCCTCCAAATTTATTAGGTTCAAAATTAGAGTTATAATTAGAGTATAATAAAATCTTCAAAAGTTCAATAATTTATTTGGACTCATTTGCACTTTTTAAAAAGTTTGGGAGCATGATTGCAATTTATTTTTTAACTTTTATTTTTTATTGTTTTATTTAAATGGAGGTATATTTGTTATTTTACGCGAGAAATTCGATGAAAATGATGATTTCCGCCATAAAAGGTAATGTAAGGGTAAAAGTGCCAAAAAAAATGAAATATATGGACATTTTATACAATAATATTGAAATGTAAGAATGTTTTGTGCAAATTACCCTTTGTATTACTTATTTAAGTATTTTGATAAAATCAAAGAAATATCAATAATTATCCTACAAGTTTACAACACCCTCCATTAAATGATATTTTTATACAACAATTATCTCAAGAAAAATTTACAGTGGTGTCCTCAACTCAGAGTAAAACATTTATAAATTCTAATGGATTGTATGGAATTTATAGAATTTGATAGATTTGAATGGATTTCTATTTTGTAGATTTTATATATTTTCATGGATTTTATAGATTTCAATGGATTTTATAGATTTTATAGCCGCACCCAATATTCAACTAAAATATTCAACAGAATGCGTGAGATGGGGAAGCAAAAAAAAAAACCGTAGTATCTTCAATAAGAAAAAATCAGAATTAATAAATGTGTGGGAAATTAATGGCCATTGGTGAAATTAATATAATACTATATAATTATACAAAAATGGAGGATAGAAAACTAGCATCCTAATTTTTGTCTTATTGAAGATACTACAACTTCCAAGAGATTAGAGAATGCTATAGATTTTTTTATAGTATTAACGGCCATTGGATTTTTTTATAGTGTTCTATACTTCAGAATATGATTATACACAAATCAATTGATAAGTTCAATAAAAAATCACACCCATACATCGTATGTTCACGGCAGAGGAATGCGAGATAAGGAGAAGAGAAAAACATGTTCAT